ATCGTTTTTTCATATGTAATTGTTCATCGTTGCTTACAGGTATACATTAAACTATAACAGTGGCTGCATTCATTTCCATTATCCTAGGACGTCTTTTTGTGTTCTTTTTTTTTACGATTCCTGATCATTTAAAGAGTCTCAAGTGTAAATTATACTTATATTCACAATTGCGCCATTTTTCTGATCGGAACCAATGCACAATATAAAATTACGTTTATACCTTCAAATTATGGTTGATCCATGAGCAACAGAATTCTGTCACTACAGCTAAGTTTTCTAAATAGAGATTGAGATTGCAATTAATTACAATGATTTCGGGTGATTTATTTCAATTGTTTTATGTATACAAATATCATTGTAATCATATTGCGTACAATAACAGATTATTTATTATTATATTATGGTTTAAACTCTATCGAAATAAATTATTATGATGATAAAAACTAATATCGCGGAAAAAAAACATAGAATATAGAAAGTGTTGTTATAGAACTTTCTAAATTGTTTAAATTGCACAGCAATTCCGGGATGTATTCTATAGTAATATTATATAAATTTACTATAAAATTTACACATTATTGGATGTAAAATTATAATTAATACAGACACTTTCCTAACGACTAGTTATTTTACTACACACCACCATACTGTTACAATACGAAACATAATATAGCCTACCGGAAAGAAAAGGTCGTGTTTCAATTTTTAACTTCTAATGTCTAGTCCGCTAATTTCTTATTGTGTGCTACACAATACGTTCATATCTTGGTATCTCAGTTTTCATGCTACTAATTTCATCTCTTTGGACAAGGAAAGATACTACCTTTTTCGTGAATATAAGAGACTGAGTATACAACCATTATTATAATGATTACAAAAACAAAACTATATTATTGAATTTTTCGGAGATATAACAGATACAAAACTTTTCTACTCCCACCCCATTTTCGTTGCTGTACGAATATTTTTGTTTATAAACCGTACGAATATCCACACAATTACACAACGAAAATATTACTAAAGGAGTTTTTTTTTTTTATTTTTCTAGAAATCATTTTCTCCGAAAAAAATGTAGTTATTTTTTTGGGTGGGGACTGGTAACACTGCGTTACTCTCACCCCTACTCCCAGCTTCCAGACGGTAAAATTAATTTCTATCATTTAAATAAACTGTATTACAATAATTTACTCTGTAAACAATATTTTACTTCCATGACCTACAAGTTTTGCGTGTTTTACGTCTTGAGAATTGTATATTATCATTTCATTTTTTTTTTTTTTTAGTGGTGATGACTTGCTATAAATTAGATGCTGGGCATGTAAATGAATAATAATATAAACTAGGTTAAATATGATAAATTGGAAAATTGAATTTATTTATTAACTCATACCAACCTATTATTATTACTATTTGAAAATTAGTTTATTTAAGTGGAAAACTTCTGGTTGGTGATCCATGTGTTTAAAACTATCACTGCAAAGTGTTAGATGTAGTATACACATGACGTGTAGATTCAAAAAAATCGAGTGAACATTTTTTTAAAGTAAAACAATGATATTCAAAGTGAAATAATGCCATTTAAAATCAATAAAAATTGAATTAAAATTTAATGCGGTATTGTTCAACATTAACTAGTTCTTTATTAAGTGTACAAAGAAAATTCAGTAAATAAACAAAATCAAAATTTAAATAAGTTAAAATATAAAGTTATCTTAGTTTTAACTTTTGACCTGTTATAATGTCTATCTCTGTCCATAATAATTTTAATTTCACGTGACAGCTGATATTTAAATATTGTATTTAAAACTATGTGTAATATAATAATAATTGAGAAAAAATTGACATAATTCCCACGATGTACCACTATTATAGGAGAGAAGTTGAGATATTGAGGAGAATTTAATTTATATCTGTGCGCAACAATAAACCATTTTTAACGAAAAACGATTCGGAGCTAAATTTTTTTTATATACCTTCATGTACGTAAATTAACCCATTTTTCTACCTTTTTTTATCAAAATTTAAACTTAAAATGCCTTATTTTTTTTAAAAACCTACAACATTACATTTAACTTTTTCCTATTAATGCAACTTCGTGCAAACCACGCGTAAAATTGTTCGCTATTACTGATAGGCTAAAAAAATTGTATACACATAATATTAAATATAAACTAAAAAAAGAAAACTCAAAAATATCGAAATTCTTTAAATAGCTTAATAATCGCCAACATATTTTAAACATTTTACACCGTCTATAAAATACTTATAAAGGTATTCATTGAAGATTTTAGATATCTACGATTATTTTATAATTAATAATTATAACAACAAAAACAATATCGAAAATAATGAAATCGTTAACGCTGTAAATTTTCTCATCTTTCCTACGTAATTTCCCGGTTATATTAATTATTAGTAAAACCTCATGTAAAGTCAATAAATAAAATTCTTAATACTTTGACTAGATCAACATTTTTATAAAAAAAACTATCTTGTTATTTATTATTCGCGTAAGATTTTTGATATGATAAATGTTTACGGGGCGCAAAAAAATAAAATAAAAATCTTAATTCAGAATCTTAATTGACAGATAAGTATTGTTAATCTAAAATTTCGACTTTCCATTAGAAAATACTCGTGTAAACGATTGTAAATTTATAACAAACCGGAGTTCGGTCACCGAACACTGTGCGACCCCAGAATATATCTGAGAATGTGTCTGACGTGACGAGGTACATAATTACGAAATTTTGTCGAAAACCTATTATATTCCTCTTTCTGTCCACTATGTATAATTATTTGATTAACGATGTGAAATCAGTCACGTACAGAAACTCGGCCGGCCGAATAGGTAATTAAATAAAACATAATGTGCGTACAACCAAAAATTGTCAACAATATAATCGGATTACGCGAAATTACAAATTGTCGAACTTTAGCATATTGAAAAAATCAAATAAAATAATAAATAAAATTCCACAGAAGTCATGTGAGTTATTACATAGTATACAGTATATAGTAGTGATATTACATTTTAATTAATAGCAGTACTCTTTTTGGAATAAGTGCATTTTAAGCTGTTTTTTTGTTTTTTTTTTTTATTTTTTCTATAGACATTTTGTCAACCCACTTTTTTACTTTAACCTTCCGATCTTTAAGTATAGCACTTTTTCTGAAAACAAATTTGACTGAAATAGAACTTTAAAGTGATAGTTTATTTGATTTTCCCAGCGGTTTTCGTAATAAACGGTAAGAATTTACGAAATGTATTATGCTTTAAAATTTTTGTTTTTATTTTGTTTAATTGTGATTCGTTGAAAAAAAAAATCGTAGGGACTTGGAGTTTAGACAGACAACTCATATTTTTCTTGTCCGACTTTTTGCCTTGTAATTTTCTTAATAAATGGGAATAACCGAAAAATTGTTAAACTATTTTTATTGATTTTTTGTCTTCAACGATATCAAGAGAGAAACTACGTCTAATAATACTAATGTTATTAGTACAATTTTTATCGTTAGATATGGTGTACAATTTCGCACGAAAATAAACTATACTAGTCCAAATGCATATTTTACTCCCTTCTAACTTCCCTCGTAAAACAGTAGTAGTACATCTATTAGCAATATAGGCCTTTTAAATATTATTTAGATTCACGTTGAATATTGAAAACCGAATCTATCGCGTTTGATCTATAATTTCGTTCAAGTATTAATACATTTAGTACCTACATATAATACACTATGTATACAAAATAATAATATCATTATGTTTTACTTTTGGTATAAATCGCTTTTGCATCCTATCTAATAACATAAAACGAAATCGAGTAATGCGTTCTACCATCACTAGTTTAATACAATTTCGTTTCAATAAAAACCAACAATAATAATATTTTCATCGTGTCATGTGGTCAACATTCAATATATTTTATATTACACGAATTTTTTTTATTTTATTATCATTAATGATTCGGATGATTTTATAACGACAGTTTCGATATAGGACGGAGTAATTATTAAAGAAATAAAAATAAAACGGTAAACAATATTAATATTATGACGTAGTTATTATTTTGTTATACACAGTTTCCTTATTCTGATATTACTCGAGTATACTATACGAAATTACGTCACGCAACCCTCTGTACTTTCGTCCTATACCAGTCCTCCTTGATGGAAATAACACAAAAAATATGAAAAAAAAAAAAATCAAAAAACTTGATTTCGGAATAAAAGAACGAAATACATAGAAATAATATGGAAAAAAAAAAAAATTAAAATCCGTTGTAGTATCACAAAATAAAACATTAGAAATTGAAGAAATAAACATTGTAAAATTGTTGTAAATCAAAAATAAATATTTTTCTTGGTTCTTGTACATAATTTAAGACTTGTATTTTCGCGTGTTATTTTCCATTCGACAGAAATCTAATACCAATACCGCTACGCTCAAAGAAGTTTCATTTCATTCGTGTGTCCTGAGTACACACACTCAGGTCTTATTTTGTTTTACACTTTGATATTGACGGAAAACTACAATTTTATGTTAGTAAACAATAGTTTTTATTTCCTGTAAGAATTCTTTAAGATTTCGTTAAAAGAAAAATGACACATTTTTGGTCTGAGGGCAGCGAGGAATGAAATAGTGTAGTCATAATAACATTTAAACAATTGTTCAGCAAACAATTATTTTCATAATATTGTTCTGTAATTTCGATTATAACGTCATAATATTAATATATTATGCAATATATCATTTAAACAATTGGTTTCTCGTAACGTATTACTAGTATATTGTACTAATACATTATTGAATATTGTTGTGAAACCAGTCGATTGCTTTTATTACAACCATCAAAGGCCGTTAGTAATGTATGACAAAGGTATATTAATGTTTTAAAAGAAAAAAAAATAATAAAAACATGCTTAGAGTCCTATTCTCAATTGCATGGCCCCGGCCCACGGCCTTAGCCTTCAGACGTCTAACGTCTTGAGTATTGTCAAGTATTTGACTTGCTACTGGATTTTTCTGTTGATCCTGTCAACAGACTTGTCTCACGTTTACGGGCAAACGTATTGATCTGGGTAGAGGTGATGGTCAAAATCACGGTGGATAATATCGTTCCTGATATAATAGTGAGCTGCGACGGTAGTACGGAGAGCGATGTGCTAGTAGCGTTGAATAATTTTAATGTAGGACTTGCTGGCACGACCACACAGCAAATTGTATTCCATAAGTCCATATTGGTTACAGACAATAGACGTTTATTTGTAAGGTCTAATGTGAAACGTCTTAAAACTAGCCGTTGCAATTTGCGCATTTTTAATTTAATTTGTAATTTTTTTTTTTTTTTTTTTGCATACATAATGCTTACGATTCAAGTATATACTTAGTGGGAATCAAGGTGTGCATACCCAAGTATTTAGCCGAATTTTTTAAATCGTTATTCGGCATTATACGTATTAGTATTTGCGTCATGAAATCGTGTTGTTTTTCTTTTGAATTATTATTATTGAAAATGCTATCTGGACCGTTGTTTATATTATCATTATTGTTGTTGTTTTTTTTTTAGTTATTTAAACTTTTTGATTTGAAATAACACTGTTCATGTATTGTAATTTGTACCTCCGTGGTTACACGATAAAATTCCCCCCCCCCCCATGATACGCACGGTAGACGTAATTATTATTATTAGATACTATATTATAATAATACTGTATAGTTTTGTTTATAGTTTGAGACAACAATACAAATGCCGTTTAATTTACAAAGACGTAAAATTAATCTTTCAACGTTGCCCCGTTCGAGTTTGTATTTAATGGGTAGGTACACCTGCGAGTGTAAGTCAGGTGACTGTTGTACTTAATAATTTAAAAACGTATTCGTGGCGGCGGTCGTTCCACAATTAATGTATTATTCGCGGTGAGTCTGTTTACGAATTAAATTAGATTTTAGTTTATCGCCGTGCGAAACACCGCGGTGGATTATTGCGGGCGAAACTGCAGGAAACTGCGAGAAGTTTGTACCTATATTCGTTGATGCGAGTTAATTTATTATGCCCCCCCCCCCTTCTCTCACCCGCCAATTCGATCGGCAAAAATTATCCTTCGATTCGGATAATTCATAAATACATATTAGACACGGTCAAACGAACTTTCGATTTCTTTTACAAATACGAAATTTATTCCGCGTTTGGGTCCGGACGGTTTTTCGTGAGTTCTACACGACGGAAGCCAATACATAATATATATTATACGTATTATACATTTTTCAATATTGGCCTTTTGACGAACCTAACTATGTGTATATAACAAGTTTAGCTATGCAATTTTGATACGCATCGCTTATAAACTTTAGAAAAATAAAATAAAAGAACTCAATCACCTCAAAATGTCTATTGAGTGTTAAAAAAATGCATTGAAATTTAATGTATTAATATTCGTTTATATATTCGTTACATTCGTTTGCCGACGTTTCGTGCTCCATTATTTTTTTGCGATGTTTATTATAATTTTAAAAACGCGATGTTCATTTAAGTAACATTTAAAACTGATTGAGTTCACGATATGAAAAACGAACTAATATTATTTGTTATATATAATAATACATAAACTGTTTGCACTGAACATCGAAATGGAAAAACCTAATATTATTTCATGAATACAAATCAATAATTCGGTTCTATTCATATATCATCAGTTCTCAGAGTCTATATTAATATATTAATAAATCATGTAGTATTTAAATTTACACGTATTATGTTAATCATTTTTTTTTAATAAGCTGATACCGTTTATGGACGTAGTATTGCTACTGTAAATGGTATGTTGGGAAAATAGATGCGTTCAAATTATATCTGTACGCGTCGATAAACCATTGCTAAGACGAGTGCTGTAAATTTTACGATCTTTGTCAGCATTCGATCACAAAAATACTGCATTATATTTAGCCTTCATTTTTTTTATTTTTTACCATCAAATTAAACTTGCAATGAATCTTTTGTTCAATTTTCAATCATTTCCGGTCAACAAAACAATTTCATCGATATTTTATTATTTAAACCAAATGCATGTACAACAATTTTTTTAAATTTTTAATGCTCATAAATACCTCACATTTCATCAGAATATTTCGACAATTTTGCCAGGTGTATAAAAAAAAAGAATGACACAATTATTCGGTGGAAATAATAAACGAGTAAAACTATTAGATCACTCGCTACGATATGAATTTGAAACGTTGTAAATATTATTAATTAGTTGAAATTCAATAAAATATTACATTAAAAGGTAATAGAAGGAAATTTTATTGAGTCTTAAATTAATTATTTCCGTTATAGGTACGCTTGATTCGTGACTTTCAATTTATTAAATAATCGCGTTTAAACGCGTTCCGTCTATATTGTGTAGTATATTTCTGTATGTTTATTTCTGTATATTTCTGTATATTTCTGTATATTTCTGTATATTTCTGTGTAGTATATAGTCTGTAATATAATCTTGAAAAATAAAATGGATTCGTTGCTCTCGTAATTGATTTAGAATATACGAAAATATATCACGCGTACTTTGTCGTTTGTGTAGGCTAAACCATTCAGACTACATAGAACCTACACGTATAGTAATGAACAATTTAACAATTTTTTTCCACCGTCCGTATTCAATTGAAAATAGTATATTTTTTGTGCAACACAAATTTTATATGTGTTCCCGAGAAAGACCAATCAATTTTTTTTTTAAAAATGCACAACATCAGCTGGTGGTTAGTTATTATTCGTGTTTTGGATATTAAAGCCAAACAAAATATCAAACAGATTACTAATAAAATAATAATAATACGTTCTAGGTGAAACGTTTTCAAGTAGAATAATGTATTTAACTTCGCAACATAATATTAACAATGTTAATTGTACTGACTTTAATAGCTGCAAACAAATATCAAATGGGATGTGTGAGTACCAGAGATTAATAGAACAGAAGGTCTTTACAGGAAAACTGTAACGGATCAGAATTCAATTCTCAATTGAGTTCTATTCTCAATAGACCACTGGGGAGGCCGATAGCAGGGTGGAATAGCGCGTAACAAAAGGACTACGTCCACCTGCCGTCTCTTTTTATAGTATTTATAAATGTTTTTATCGTAATCGTTTCATATTTATTTAACTACCGTGGCGCATGTGATTTATTTTTATGTTCCATTCGTTAAATAAAAATAATAATATGTTTTTTAAATGTAATAATATGATAATACAGCGTCGTGTGTGCGCAGAACAACTACACGCCGGTGTAGAGAAACAAATCGTTTCATGGGTGAGACCAGTGTGTTCCCTAATCGTTTTCGACTCGCGGTACCAGTTTGGAACTAAGGTTTTTTCAATGTAATCTTGTAAATCATTGAAATCACAAAAGATTCCGATTGAAACATTATTAAAAGTATAAGAATTGTTTTTTTTTTTTTTTTTTTTAAGTAAAATTGTTTTTACAGTATTCGAGATAGGCATTTTATACATTATTATGTTTTAAAAACAAAATTTTGATGTTACAATTAATGTTTACTGATGATGAACCGTTGAGTTTTATAACTTGTTGTAGTATATAAAAATCGTTAGCAAAATAATTTTTCGTGGGAAAATTGGTCGAATTGAATAACGCTTATTAGTGGCGATGAGACAATATCGTAAACGAAAAAGAATTATGCACCGACATTTTGTTTCAAAATATAGTTATTAAATAGTTGTCTTGGACTTTTTGGTAACAAATTAAAAAGAAATTGAATTTCCAAAAGTAGTGCAATACTCTAGAAATTGTTACAACAACAAATACCTTAAAAATAATGAACAAAACGAAAGTTTTTCAGGTATCAGATATTCGTTTAACAACATACATTATACACTGTGGTGCGCAATGTGCATGTGAAATAAAGAAAGTCTATTTTAGGAGTTTCTTAAGTTATAATAATAGTATATATATATTTTTATTATATAAAGAAGCAGGGGGCGGATCACAAAGAAAATTGATAGAGTGTGTGTGTGCACAGGACATACGGATAATAAAGAAACGGATAAGCTACACGTCCGTAACATATATAAGTAGGTATGTGTTCGGAATGAAAATGGAAGAAAAAACATTTTTGACTTACAAGTGTGACATTTGGTTTGTGGTGTTTACTTTTTTGTTTTGTTTTTTATTTTGTTCTTTAACTGCGTACAGTAAGTTATGCGAAAAACACGGTTTTTTTTTCCATTATACACGAACGTTAAAACGAACAATATACGTTTAAATTATTTGAAGTACACTTCTCTCTGTGCAGTAACTGAATTATAATATTGGTGGTAAAATAGATTTTTTAAAAAATTAAATCTGACCTGCAGATTTTTAATTACTTCTTGATATTTTTTTTCCAAATACATTAAAGTATTAGACTCCCAGTGTATGCGCACAGCTTACTTAATAGCACACATTGGAACCTCTAAAGGGGAGTTTACATTTTAATTTTATTTTGAGTATGTACATCCAATTAAATAATTATTTTTTAAACTTGGTTTCCATTTATTACACGGGAAAAAATTATTATTATATTTTAATTTCTATAGTTTCTAGTGGTTTCTATAGTTTATCGGGATGTCGGTATTGTTACGCGGTCATGTTATTTTTTTTATTTATTAGTTTATAACAATACATATCTATTTTCGGTAGTTTTATTATTTTCAACAAACTAATATCTAATTATCTACGTAGTATTTTTTATTGCTTTACAAAGAATCGTTACTTACAGTCTTCTTTTTCGTTGATGGGGAATTAAATAATGTTCCAATTCCATTTAGATTAAAATGTTAGAACATTTGATTTAATTTCATTGGCGACATCCTAAAATTCCATAAAAAATAATGATAATTGTTACCGTGGTTGCATCGTTACACAATAATGTAATATTATGTTAAACAATAATTAGGCCATAAAGGGTATGTGACGCACGTGTGGTCGTTTTATAATGTCTAAAACGCAACTGGAATAATGAATCCGGAATTATTCTGGGTTTATACATTTTCGATGTTGAAATTGAAAGATGTTTTTTTTCTCTATAAATACGTTTTTGAAATTCTAAAATAATACCAGTCGAAAGAAATCATTTATCGTAATATTTTTGTTTACGAATTAACTTTTTTTTACCATTTTGATGATAACAATAATTCATTCGATAAAAAAATATTACACACAATACATATTATTAATCTTTGTATAACAGTTTATGCGTTTTGTTCAGTTTCTTTTTGTATTTTTTATATTATAATAATAATATTACAACACGATACTAAAATAT